CGTCCCTCTAAATCCTTGGGTGGTGTTGCATTTCAAGTTGGAATCGGCTGGAAGAATTAAGACGGAGGTATTCGTTTTTGGTAGGGTTATCGATAAAGTAGGAGGGTGGCAACCCCTACTGGAGTGGCGCCCCCTTCTGCTGATGTCTTGGCTATCTAGCTATTTAAAATAGCCCGGTTCGCTCTGGGTATGGCTAGGATGGCCTTGGATTCGTCCAATGACCCACTTTTGGGAGAGGAAAAGGGAACATGGCGTGATCAGCATGACATTGCGTAGGTCAGGGATAGGTTTTAGTTGCTGCCAGACATCGAAGCCATGTCGACGGGATTTTTATATTTCTTAGCTTAGAATAGGCCAAGAAAAAGTGAGAGTGCGATTAGTGCGAGTAAAGTTAGAAAATTAAGTGGAAATTTATCCGGCCGCAGCAATAGGCACCGGCAGCAGCAACAGCCACCGGCAGCAGCGACAGCCACCGGCAGCAGCAACAGCCACCGGCAGCAGCAACAGCCACCGGCAGCAGCGACAGCCGCAGGCAGCAGCGACAGCCACAGGCAGCAGCCACAGCCATAGCCATCAACACCAACCAACACCGCCGCAGGCAGTTGAGCTTATCTACATTACCTCGGTGAGTCCGTTCCGGGCACGTAGAACCCGAGCCGCACAACGTCTCGAACACGACGCGACTCCCATACGACGCAGCATCTCCGACGTCACGGTCTGCAGTGGCCGAGGCAGGGCGTAATACCGGTTTCCGGACCGCCCTTTATAAGGGTCCCAAGTCGTCCCAAGTCTGGCCTTGCGCTAACTCGGGGTCTGAAATTGCGAAAGCGGGCTTAGCAGAACTCTATACAATTTATTTCATTATATTTACCTGTCCCTTTTGTGTCCTCTTGGAGCTCCAGCAGGGTAATTAGGAGAGAAAAGAGGTGTTTGATGAATGACAGCCACTTGGCTTAAAAGTTCTGCGGGGCCAAATTTCCGTTTTTAAGAAGGCCTTGCCGCTGGTGCAGTCCAGGCCGGGTAGTGGTTTTGCCCTGACCTGTAAGAAATGGTATAAAGAGGAGAGGATATACTTAACGTTTATATTTGGAAACCTTATGTATATATTTATAAATAAATGTACTTAGAATGGAGATGAAGATGATGTGGGCCTAAGGCAATTTCCAGCGGGGAGATGAACCGGTCGTAGTCTGGCCTGGCAGTGGCTCCGGCCTCGGAACATGGGTGGTGCCTCCCTCACGACGCTAGGGGCACCACAGGAAGGGTGGGTGCGCTGTGGCAGCCACATCCAATGCCACTTTTCCGTCATACTTGTCCCGGTTTGTTTATTTTGTCTTGTTTACCTTTTTTTTGTTGTTAGAGATGTTAGTACTTGTAGTGTGAGACGTCGATAGTAATCGATATTTAATGTTGTGGGGCTGTAGGGACATTGGGGGAACTCCGCCCTGAGGATTCCGGAGCTAGCCGGGGCCGTCCCAGGGAGAACAATATGCAGTTCCATAACAAATTCCACCAAATTCATCATATATTCGGTCCTTTAATTAGTAGTGGGGCTGGACCCAACTCTCAACTAGTAAAAACTAAGTCATACATATATAAAAAAATTATACAACCAATCCTAGTCTACGGCCAAATAGGCTGGTTTAACCTGGACTCTAAAGACATGGAAAACTTGCGCCTTTTCGAAAGGAAAATTCTTCGCAGAACCATAGGCTCTGCTGCCAGAAACCCAGTCACTAGGCACTACATAAATAACAAGAAGCTTTATAAATTAACAAAAACTAAACGAATAGATATCCACACTTTCAACATAATAGAAAAGTTCCTACAAATAAACCAAAATAATCAAAACCCATTAGTACTTGACAGCATAACACAAACTAGGTTACCAGCCAATGTCAACCACTTAACAATAAAACACATTAATCGCCTTAAAGAAATAGGTATAATATATGATCTCAATAAAAACCTAATCTTCTACCACAGAAGACGACAGTCATTAAATCCATCTGAATTAATATACAATATAAATCAATAACCTTGTTGTCTTTATAAGAATTGCGCAACATACTTTATCTCCCCTATGTATATATCCTTCCTCACCCAACCCCCTGTAAATACTCCCCCACATATGTTTAATTAGTCTATAAGTTGCAAAACAATTAAAATACAAAACAACGTAATTTAGGTTTTTTCTCCTTCAGAGCCTTTCCTAAAAAATATATAAAAAAAATTCACATTAATTAAAAACCAAATTGAAAACAAACTGTAAAACTAAGATAAGAAACTCATTTATCATACAAAATTAAACGATACTTAAGCCTTGATAAGCGAATAAGCATAATGCAAAATACAAATAATTAGATAAGTAAACTTGAACTTTGTCAACCAAGTATGTACTATAAGTTAAGGTCTTACAAATGTATTACCTCCCACCATTACGACAATAAACCTGAACCTGAACCTGCTCCGTTATGATCAGTGAATTGTGTTTGTGAAATTAAAAGTGAACTGAAATAATGCCGCCGAAAACTAGTGGAAAGGCAGCTTCTGAGAAAAGCTCGATTTCTTAGAATTTCGAAATTCACAGAATTCAGATAGAGACTGAGAAATCAAAATAAATTAAAAAGAAAAATCGATACAGATAGTGACTGGAATAAATATCGATAGCAACCTGGATCCCTCTGTGAAGAGCAACCGGCCTATGCCGTTGCTTTATACAAAAATACAAATAAAATAAAAAGTATTAAAAATATAAAATTTTCGACAAACAATCACAAAACGCGAAATGCCCCTTACACGGTAAACGCAAGAAATCAAAAAATAACCGATAGTGCCTTAACAAAGATGCAAACAAATATGCCAGCTAAAACTGACCCGGTAGTGCTTGCAGCCTCCGCTGACGAGCTTAGTGTTAGCACCAACCGAGAAATGGACTTCGAGGAAGCTTCTCAAAAACGTCAACGCAACGCCGAATCCTCGGCTGAAGACAGTCAAACCAGCTATGACACCAGCAGTGATGAATCCTCCGTCTCCGACGAAGAGGAAGAAACTGATGAAAATGCTCCTATTACCCAATCTCAACCGAAGGGATTAATGGAGGAACTTGAGCTTCTACGTCAGGAAAACCAACGCCTGAAGAATCAATTAATGCCCGAAAACAACAACCTCGGGGCAATAAAAAAGAAGTCGAAAACAACTATAAGTGCATCAGCGCCTACCTATAACGCCAACGAATTCCCGTCTCTTCCGGACGGCACGCAGCGACCAAAAATCAACAAAAAGACGGTGAGCACCAGCAGCCCTCGCCACGACAACCTTAGGAATACCGGCAATGAAACAGCCCAAACAGGAAGGTCCCAAGGAGCCCAAAAGATGACTGCGTCGAAAAAACTGATTCCACCCATAATTGTAGTATATAACGCCGAGCCGAAGATACTTACAGGTATGTTTCGCAATTTTATTAAAGACAACAAGTTTTCCTTGAACATAATGAACAAAAACCTATTGCACATAAGGGTATTTTGCCTAGAGCACTACCTTCAGGCTAAAGAATTACTAACAGCAAAACAACTAATGTACTTTTCATACACACCAAAGGAACTAAGAAAACACTCAATGGTAATCAAAAAACTACCTCATGAGGTTTTTAAAGCCGACGATATACAAACGGCCCTTAAAGAAAGTTTGCCTCTTATTAAATCGATAACAGTAAAGACGTTTAAAAATAAATTCTGGTTAGTCCAAGTAGAAACAATTGAAGAAATGAAACAAGTTTTCCATCTTAAAACCTTGCTCAACTGCCGCATAGTGGTAGAGGGGCTAAAGAAAAACAAAAACGAAGTTAGACAATGTCACAACTGTCAAAGATACACCCATGTAGCCAGCAATTGTAATATGGGATATAGATGCGTTAAATGCACTGCTCCTCATGGTCCTGGCCAATGCGCAATAAAAAAGTCCGAAAATCCGTCCGATAAAACTGAAGCAAAATGTGTAAACTGCAAGGGGGCCCACACTGCAAATGCAAAAGTCTGTCCAGTCCGAATCGCAGTTAAGGAAAAACAAATCAAAAACAGGAAAACCACAAATATCAAAATTGATCGCGTAATAAGCAAAGCAGAAAGCCTTTCACTCATCAGGGGAGAAAAGAGTTTCTCATCGCTGTTCTCAACGAATGACAACAAACAAGCAGCAGCAAAACCCACTGCAAAAAAAGTACAGCCACAACAAAAAGTAGCTACTACCAACAGTGAGCTTAATAAACATATGGAAAACAGATTAAGACAAACAAACCCTTTTGAATCCTTCAATAATGATACAATAGAAATCTTCGGCATAGACATTATATCTTGCGTTGAAATCATGCAAGGGGTGACTAAAAAATACACCGGAACTGCAAACCTCAGCGGATCTGAGCAGAAAAGACAGAAGCAGGAGATTGTTCTAGACTTCCTATTTCAAATCTCGATGAATTAAATGTGCCATCTTAAATGCATCTTCCTAAATGTAAACTCTATCGTGTCCCTACAAAAAAGGAACGAACTAAACTCATTCTTAAATAAACATAGACCAGACGTCATGCTCATAGCTGAGCACCGTGTAAATCAAAAACACTTAATCACACTGTCCCATTATCAGTTTATTCGACAATTATCTAGAGCAACAGATACAAGAATAGAGCAAACGTCATGTTCTCCAAACTCAAAATCGACGTTCCTCAGTTGCCATATGCCTAAAAAATGGAACAAAATACCAAAGAATAGAATTGGGTCAATTGCGCTTTTTAGAAGCAACAGCCGTAGAACTAAACTACAATCTGTCAAATGGGTTATGTCATAACGTCGTTGTCGTATCACTTTACAAGCGGCCAAAAGATCCTTTGTGCACATCAGATCTAAACAAAATTATAGACTCCATTGCTAAAAAATCTCCCAACAGCCAAATATTAATAGGCTGCGACTTAAATGCCAAGCATCCAAGCTGGCATGTCCCAACGCATAGTACATCACACATAAATAGCAGCGGAAAGTTGCTTCACAATTGGCTTTTGGGGCAACCAAGCCTCGTTCTCTATCCCACGGAAGAACACTCCCGACAGAACCAAAATAATAGGCATTCGTCAATAGATTTTTTCATATGTTCAAATGAACTTCCCGCCGATCTAGGTGATGGCTGTAAAGTCCTCAAAGACTTTGCATCAGACCACTTTGGTGTGGAACTAAAAATACGACTGGGAAGATTCCACCTGACACAGACGGACCCCAAGTGCATACACAATTTCAGAGAAATGAACGATCTCTTATGGAATACAATTATATTAAGAAACATAAACCAGATCCCAAACAATAACAATCTAAGCGCAGCTGACATTGATGCACATATTGAACAACTCAATCGAGCGCTAGAACAGGCTCTAAACTCTTCGGCTGCCATCCCAAAAATTGTGTCTGACCCAACTAGAGCAATCAAAACTTTTAGGCCCAGCCGCCTATGCCTAAACCTAATTAAAAATCGCCGAGCACTAAGACGTCTGCTCTTCAAGTGGCAAACAACCTTACCAACTAATAAAAAGTTGCAAATAAAACAACTTATAAGCAACCTTTCTATGCAAATAAACACTCACCTAGAAATAAGCCACCTAAAATTTGTAGAAAATCAAATTAAATATATTAAACCTCAAAACATAAGCCTACAATTTTTGTCAAACAAAGGTTCAGAAAGCAAACTCCTAAGTTATGATATACACCTCACAGAAATAGAAATCATACATTCCAAATTTGAAAAGGTCAATGCGCTAGCTTGGTCATTTGAACAGATACACAAACAAAACGAAAACATGACATTGAGCTGTTCGTCTCTACAACAGCACACCAGCCATGTCAATAATTCAATAAACAACAATTTCGACGAAAACTCAAATAACAGGTCAAACATAGTAGACTTCAACAATAATCTCACTGCAGATGGTAACTGGAGAGAAGCCGACCAACTTGGATTTACTAATGTCGAACAACTTCTTGATTGGATAACGCAAATGGGAAAAAGACACTAGGACCTGACTGTTCTAGCAACTTCCTCCTAAAAAAGTGTAACATGTTAATCCTTAGTCACTTTGCTAAGCTATTTAATCACTGTTATAACATAGGATATTTCCCCAATAGCTGGAAATGCAGTAGAGTCATCCCGATTCCGAAAAACAAGCAAAAGCCAGATCGACTCCAAAGTTACAGGCCAATATCCATCCTCTCGGCTATAAGCCAACTATTCGAAAAAATGTTATTGAGCCAAATAAAAAAGCACATGAATATAAATTCAATTCTCAAACCC